AATTAATAGAAGAGAAATTCGCAACAAATAGTGATAAAGATATTCTTTCTTTATTTAATGATTTCTTTATTAAAATACAAAAAACTTTTCCTGGGGGTATTCATACAGAAACACATGAAGGTACATTGACGGAGCTGCCTATACACCCGAATTCCCCTGCTTTTCCTCTTTTTCTTTTTAAACAAGCTTGTGAAGAAGCAGAAACAATGCTAGATGAATCTGAGGTGTCTATACAAGAAATAGAATCATGGGGGGGTGCATGGAGTGTCAGTGGTGTAGCGGGTAATCTAAGAAACCTCGATGATAAAACTATAAAAAGACAAGTACAAGCACAAAAAATAATGCAAAAATATATAGAAAAAATATCTAACACAATAGATGAAGAATCTTATGCTGGACGACTCTTTTCTATGGCCCTTGCTGTACTCTAACTTATCTCCTCTTTGTCTCTTTACTAACAAATCTTTGTTTTTTCTTTTTCTCTTCACTAACAAATCTTTGTTTTTTTCTTTGTTTCTTTACTAACTCTTTGTTTTTTCTTTCTTTTTCTCTTCACTAACAACTCTTTGTTTTTTCTTTGTTTCTTTACTAACCACTCTTTGTTTTTTCTTTCTTTGTTTCTTTATTAACAACTCTTTGTTTTTTCTTTGTTTCTTTACTAACAACTCTTTGTTTTTTCTTTCCTTTTCTCTTGATTATCACCCCTCTGTTTTCTCTTTCTTTGTCTCTTTATAACCATCCTTCTGTTTTCTCTACTGTCTCCTTTACCTGTCTCCTCATATATATATACATATATGTAAGGGTTTATTTATTTATATTTATTATTGACCCTATATATCTGTCTCTGTCTTATAAATATAAGAGACAGAAGTATAGAGAATTGAAATAGAGACAAGTGCTGTCTCTGTTCTCTCCTCATATATATATATATATATATATATATATAACAACATTTATTTTTGCTTTTTTTAAGGGTTGACTGTTGTCTTTGTCTATGCTGTCTCCATAGGAGAAACCAAAAACTAAAGAACGAAAATAAATATTAATAAAGACAATAAATACAAATAAATTAATTTATATTGATAGTAATAAATTCCCAAATGAAACAAAATATAAATAGTTATATATAATAATAATATACGAAATTAAAACAAATTAAAAGTTTATTTATATACACCCTCATCTATTCCTGTCTCCTCTATATGAAGAGAGGCGAGAGGAAGGGCTGAGTTTCTCTTGATAATTAGGGTTTAGGGTTTAGGGTTTAGGGTTTAGGGTTTAGAAGACAACTAGAACACAGCAAATATTTTTATATTCAACAAACGGGATCCACTGTGGTGCAGCACCGCAACACATTAGCTGATTTACAGCTCAATAAAACAAATACCAAAGGCTCCCATGAAAGCTGCCTGTACACCTCAGAATATTCATATACAATTGCTGCTGCAGCTCTTGCTGCAGCTGTTGCTGCCGCTGCTTCTGCGGCAGTTGCTGCAGCTGCTGCTGCAGCAATCGCTCCAACAGCATCTTGCTGTTGCTGCATCTATTGCGTGTCCTGTGTATGTCTAGTTGGCATTGTGCTGCTGCTGCTGCTGCTGCAACAACAGTAGCAGCAGCAGCATCAGCAGCTGCTGCTGCTGCTGCTGCTGCAGCAGCTACAGCAGCGCTACCGCGAGGGTGTATAGATCATGTATGGGTGCCCCTGAAGGGCTTTCCATCCACTCTACAAGGTGTTGTGCTTCTGTTTTAAGTTTTTGTCTTTGTTGCATGCATTCCATTTCTTTTTTTTCTAGGGTTTGCAGCAACTGCTGCACCTTCTGGTCGGACCACTGGTCACCCCATGAAGCCACCGCCTCCGCCGATAGGATACGGGCTCTGGTCCACTGGTCATGCATCAGCACCGCCTTCTTAAACGCCTGCACATGAAAGGGGCGCTGCCCGGGAGAGAAAGGAACTGCAATTTCTTCTCCTTGAAACCGACCCCCCCATGGTGACGCCGGAGAAGCAACAACAGCAGCAGCAGCAGCAGCAGCAGCAGGTCCAGATCCAGCAGCAGCAGCAGCCGCAACATCAGGAGGAATAGGTGAAACATCTTCCCCTATATCACTTAAAAAACTTTGAAATATATGAATTGTATCGAGTGTCTGTGCAGCTTGTAGATCATCACGCCTCAATACATTCGCCAGCCGCACAGCGAGCTGCCTAGACACCCGAGCGGGGCGCTCATCACCTGCATCCCGCTGCTCTCTGCATGCAACAGGCCGACCCCCCAGCATCCCCACAAACTCCTTAAACGAAATTGTATCTTCTTCGGGGGCCCCCGTCTTGGGGCCCCCCACCCCTCCCTCAGGAGCACCAGCAGCAGCAGCAGCAGCAGCAGCAGAAACAGGAGTTGCTGCTGTAGCAATTGGAGCTGGTTTCATGCCGAGGAGGCGCGATCCCACTCCACTCATACTGCAGTATGCTTCTATGCCATCAAGTGCTTGTATGCGTGCTTTTGCAGCTGTATATACAGCTGAAAGAATACGAAGACGAAATGCATACACCTGTTTTTGTTTAGGGTTATCACTCTGACGAGGATGACGAGCCCCCCTCACTACATCTGCATGCCTCTGCAGCAGTATAAGAGGGGCAGGGACCCTCACACCTGTAGCAGCAATAGGAAGGAAGTGAGCGGCGAAGGCTTTCTTGCTGCTGGTGCTTGCCTGGTCCCATGCTTGTTCTACTGCTGCAGCAGCAGCAGCAAACTCCTCTTCATACTTTGATAGATTCTCTCCATCTACAGCCAGCTGTACACCCAGCTGCATGCGCGTAGGAGTACCACCAAAGGGGGAGCGATCATCGACAGGGGTCCTCACAACCATATCTAGTTTCAGTTGAGGCTTATGCTGCTTCTTTTGTTTTTTCTGTTTCTTTTGCTTCTGCTGCTCTTGCTGCTGCTGCTGCTTCTGCTGCTCCTGCTGCGGCTCACGAATCAAAGGCAGCCTACGCTGCGGCGGCTTTGGCACCGAAGGCTGCTCCTGCTGCTGTTGCTGCTGCTGCTGTTGCTGCTGCTGCTGCTGTTGCTCCTGCTGCTGTTGCTCCTGCTGCTGTTGCTGCTGCTGCTGTTGCTGCTGCTGCTGAGGTAGAGGAGTCGCAGGCGCTTGCTGCATCAGCTCGCCTCTTCTCTGGATATGAAGATTAACAACTGCTGCTGCCAGTATAAACCATAAAAAAATACCGCCCCACAGCAGCAGCCGCGAGCGCTTGCTACCGCCTGCCTTGGGCCCCTTGGGGGCCCCTCCATCTACCTTTCTTTTGTCTTTTGCTGCAGCAGCAACAGCTGCTGCTGCTGAGGCACCTCTTATATCTCCATGCCAACCAGCAGCACCCCAGCCTGCAGAGGGGTCCACTGAGGCTGTAGGGTGAGAGGCCTGCCCCCCCTCCGCCGATGCTGTGTAATGTAGTGTATCATCATCATATGAGAGCCATCCCCCAGATACTGTTGATGGTTGTTCTGCTGTTGCTGCTGCTACTGCTGCTGCCCAGTAGGGGTCCCCAGCCAGTGCATTTGCTACTGGCCTGCCTGCTTGATTGAGGAAGGGGGGGCCCTGGGGGCCCCTTTGAGCTTCCTGCTGAGTCACAGACAAAGGCAGGGACCCCCTGTAATCAACTGCAGACGCCATTCGTCAGGNTGAGCTTCCTGCTGAGTCACAGACAAAGGCAGGGACCCCCTGTAATCAACTGCAGACGCCATTCGTCAGGTTGAGCTCCGAAGGCTGCACGCAGCAGCCAGATGTAGGTGGAAACTGACCACAAATTCTGCGTAATTTGTTTAACTTCGTGAAATATAAGTGGTTATTTATGTTTTTAGCGATATGTATGGTTGTTTGTTCGTTTATTTATTTGTCTTTTCATTGTTTATTTCGCTCTCTGCCCATCATAACGGTCCGGGCGTCCGGCATAGGCTGCAGGAGGAGGAAGGGATGGGGGCGCCTGCAGCGACAATAATGGAGCGTCTTCCATAAAAACACATCCTTTAAAATGTGTAAGATATTCAAAATAAAATAAATAAATAAAGATGAGGAATTTACAGGTATACTGCATGCACTCATTCGTACAGCTGCCTCCTGTTGCAGCAACCGGCCGGGCCCCCACAGCCCTGGTCACCTGCTGCTGGTGCTGCTGATACCGCTCTTGTATTTGTTCGCCTACTTAATGTTTTTTAAAATATTCGTATATTTAATTCAGAAATAAATTCATGCAAACGGTGGTGTCCGCCTGTAGACCCTGCATTTGTTCTCGCCGTTCATGTTGCATATGCTTTAGCGCGTGCTGTTTACGGGTTTGTGTGAAGGGGTCAATGAGGAGTGCAGGTTGGTTTTATTCGGAAAGAATTTGCAGTTTAGTTATAAAAACTGAATTAATTTATTTTATTGTTGAATAATTATTGGACAGTGATGAGAAACCCGAGAGCTATCGCTCTGAAAGAGCATAGATAGGAAGCACAGTGACCTTCGCCTCTTGACGGTAACATCTCTCACACAGCATGCTATTATATATGGATTAAAAAGAAAAAAGAGAATATAAAACCCATCAACTGGAGCTTTTCTGCTCTGTACACCCAAAAAAACATAGAAACTTTCGTACAGTTGTTGGCTCTCCCCCTCGTGCTTCATATTGAACACGATCTAGGTAATGATGCACCGGGGTTCAGCAGCGCAGCCGCAGAAACGCTGAAACCTAGGAAACCTATGAGTATACTCAGTATTTTTGGGGAGAATAAACATAATTTTTATAATTTTATAAATTCCAAAGGGTCAGAAAGATCAATGGGTCAAGAAACCTATGAAACCAATGAGGATCGCACGCGTAGACTGCACTACTGCAACTTGTATGAATAAGAGGCAATAGAACCCTAGATACTCCTAAATGACCCCCGTAACGAAATAAATTGAAATAAACTCTAATATATTAATGTTGAATACTCATAGAAAATCTATGAACCCAAAGATTCCCGCTGATACTAGCGAAAAGTAATCTGTAGCAATGGCGGTACGACGGATAGAAGAAGCTTAGCTGCAACCCTCTGTAACAAACTCCCGTCGACTTGTGTAAAAATAATGTAAAATTCAATATTTAATTAATTACGAATTAAACCCGTTGTTCTGACGATGCTAGGCAAACAGAAACATTGTAGTGCATACGCACTACAGTCTGCGTATTCCTACTTGTATGCAGACTGCCACTGACACCATCCATAATATTTATGCATGCAAATAGGCGGCTTGGCTGTGCATGCATGCGATGTTTCGTTGCCACTCGTGTCCGTTCCCCTGCTCTGCCTGCAGAGCAGGCCAGCAGCTTTCTGAATTTCTTATGTTGAGCATCCCAGTTCTACTGCAGCTCACACCAATACCCAGCTACGAGCGAGGAGGATTCAGGCTACACTCTTCACCGGGATTACTGCTGGATACAGAACGATCCCGCTGGGTGTGCGGGGACCGCACAGCTAGCTGTCAGAGGAGCAGCTGATACAGTTGATGTTTACTCATCCCCCTAGAACCTCTTAGTTATTATACAGGAAATATATAAGCTCCATACCCTAGGTTGTAAACCCTAAACCCTAAGCTGTAATGTAAACCCCAGACCCTATGCAGTAAACCCTAAACCCTAACTTGTTATGTAAACCCCAAACGATAGGCCTTGATGCAAATACTAAACCGAGTTGCAGCATCACAGCAGGTCGCAGCCAATGGCCAGCTACCTGGAGCTAGCTAGCTAGCTAGCTGGCTCTTGCTGCCTTCAACACTGCTGCCGCTACGGCTGCATGGCGCTGAGTGTTGGAGGCCGGCGTCTGCAGGACTCGGGTGAGCTGATCTGTCGTTTGCTATGGCTAGCTAGCTCCAACTAGGCAGCTGTAGATAGCTAGCTGCAGCTAGCTAGCTCCATCAATATTGCCGCAGTTATCTAGCCCCAGCAGTGTAACTGTATCTAGCTGGCTNGAGCTAGCCGCATCTAGCTAGCTCCACTTATCTGGCCGGTAAGCTAGCTGTAGCTAGCTCGGTGTAGCTAGCTAGCTAGCTAGCTAGCTAGCTGTATATAAATAGTTTATTCTGTTGTGCGTTGAGTATTGATTCTAATGATATTTGTTTCCTCTGTGATGACCTCATCAGCACCAACACGGCGGCCGTCTGGCGTTTCGGCGGAGATGAAATTTCTCCCTATTGCCGGGTGCAGCTGGTGCGCGAACTCCCCTACGCTGTAAACAAACAAATAAACAAATAAATAAATAAATAAATACATAAATAAAAAAATAAATAATAAATAATAAATAAATAAACTGCAGTAAAGTAATATTCGGCTGATGGCTATCCATTTGTTCAGTTGCTTGCTTAACTACTCTGGTAGCGGGGTAGGTGGCGGGCAAGTCAGCTAGGAGGTGCTTCATATATATACAATACATATATATGTTATATATATATATATATATATATATATATATATATAATCTTTATATGCGTATACAATTATGTGGTTCCCATACACATATATATATATATATATATATATA